TCACCAAATTTGGCAATATTACGGAACATTAAACAACTGCCATACAAGTGGGCGTTTTAGCTAGCTTGAAAATAAGTCATGCAAATACAATCTTTTGTTATAAAAATTAAAAATATACAAATATATCATCATGTGTTTAAAAAAGGATATGATGGTTTTCGTGGTTTTTGCAGTAACGAATTAGCAGCAACAGATCTTTCACGATCCTTTTCACGATCTTCAAAAAGTGGTACCCGATCTTTCACATTCCGAAATATCAAATTTTACAAATATTTCCATTTTTGGAAAGTTTCTGATTAAACGAAAACTAAATAACTTTAAGAACCACTTTAAACAGTAACACAAAAAAATACTTTTTTTGATAAAAGTAGTTTATGCATTCAAAATATGAAAAAAATATTTTTGTTTACATTTTTATTTCTTCAAAATTTCGAGGAGCAATCTGCCTTTTGTAGTTTTGTAAAAACGGTGTACTTTCAAACCTTCATTTTTCTAGGATACTGATCATAATGTTGAACCATTTGACAGACAGTTTTATTTTTCCAAAATTTGTCATTATTATTCATTAAATTAGACTATTTACTGACGTTGCATGTGTCTTCTCGATAAGATTTCCTTCACGATCCTATACCAGATCTTTCACGATCCAATCGCAATACTTGACCACCGTTACTTATTCTTTCACAATAATTTTTCTCGATATACCGAATGACAGTCGTGAAATCAAACAGACCTAGATTGCACTTGCTCGCTATTTGTTTTTATCGCACCTTGGATAAATTATGACGTAATGATTGGTTAAACGCCGTAACGTGGTGACCCCCTATGGATCCGTATGGGTCAGTAGATTTCATATGGGGTTCATGATGTCACGTTCACTATTAATGGTGACGTCATCGATTAATGTTTTTGTATTTCATTGCTATTTTTTATACATAACTTAGCAGGAAAAGTCCCGTGTGCGATTGATTCGTTATACAGTAGGGTTAGTATAATCCATAGTAGATTCGGCCCTCGGCCTCACCCCCTATGGATTTTACTAACCTTTTGGATCCGTAGGGGGGTCAGTAACAAACCATATAACTTATGATATTCATATTTATGTTTATATCAGATTATTCGATCTTCGGCAGTCTTCGTAGGTCTCCTAGATGGATAATTAGATGGCATCGGGTCTAAAATACGTACGAACTGCTGATACATTATAGCGAGTCCATGCATTGTTAATTGTTTCTTTTGACCGTTTTGTAATTTGGATATTCGTGTTGGTATGTTATAAATAAAATAAGAGAAATTGGATCCAACCGATGAACATGAATTTGACAGCTAATGCCCTTGAAGAAGCTGGAAATATTAGTATTCAATTTTTTTTTTTCATAATTATTGTTATGATATTTCATTCAGTGTTGTGATAGAATTTATTTCCAGGGGTGCAATATATGATTGTCATATATTACTTTAAAACTCTGGAAATAACTTTGTACACGGGATGATTACAACAAGTATTGGTAGTTTGGTTTAGCATACGTGTAATACATGAATAATTGCTTAATGAAGAATGGTAAATACCTATTTATAATATATCAGGCTAATCTGGTGTCATTGCTTTTGCCTGAGATTTTATAGTAATCTCCGTATTTTTCAGAAACAGCAAATTTTATCTGAAGTGTAAACACGATAAATGACACAGCCGCCATTTTAAAAAATTCCGGCATCGAAATTTTTTTTTTTTTTTTCAATCGATTAGCGATGTAATTTGCAATCAGTTCAAACTGTTAAATATAGCGTACTTTGCTAGATCTGTGTTTCAGGTATCACAATACTGATGCAAAGTATTACTTGTATTTAAGGGGTTTGTTAAATTGATGTATAAGTAGACGTTGGTTTGCCAATTTTACAATTAAAATCAACGGGCGAATAAGAGAAAAGTATCGATATTTACAATTGATCAGGAACGTTATTTAATCTAAATTCAAGCTGTCAGGACCATTTTTTTTTAAAGAATTATGTTCGAACACCAAGGAAAGAGATGCAAAAGGTAGAAAATGAGTAGGATTAACGAAAAAAAATAGGTTTATTGAAGGGCCAATGCAATTTCTATGAGACAACTTGACTAAAGATGGCGGATGCCACGTCATGAAAGTCATATGACGTCTTACTTCGCTAGGTATGTCATACGAGTTGTGTTTGCTCACAAAAAAAACGGATGAACATTATTGTACTAGACCATAAGTATCTAGGCGAGAAAAATTCCGAAAATTTTAAGAAAGTCAATAAACCAGGATCATGACTGGGTTCTAGGGCTAGTTCGAAACATAAGTCATTGACAACCCTATTTAATCTAAATCCCTTAATGGATAATTCTTCTGCGCACATCGAAGACGATGTATTGGTATGCAGGAAGTTCACCAAGTCGTTCTCAGACTCCGAGGCCAGTCTTCTCGAATGCCAACGTTGTCGAGCTAGATACTGATTCGAATGTTTAACAAAAGTATAGCCGAATATGCATTCTTGTCTATTTAAGATAATACGTGGTTCTGCATTCGCTGGAGGGAGATAGTCGGAAAAAACAATGTCACAAACATGAAAATAGAGGGAAAATGCAAAGAGATCATGGTATTATATGAACTTAAATAAATGCTGCACATGTGACATCCCATGTAGAAAAAATGTAACTGCCAAAGTAATCAAGGTTCTTTTTCTGTAAAATACGAGATAAACGAGCGCAAATGCAGAGAACAACATCGCTATTTATGATACACAAGAGGTAGATTCAAACTTGAAAGATGTAAGATATGGTCATGACTCTGAAATATTAAGTTTTTCAAGAATGTTAACTTAATATAGACGATAACGACATAGTTAAAGTAATCAGGCTGGGCAGAGTTGACAACTCATCTGAAAAAAAGTGCTATTTTAAAATTTCTCAAAATTAAAGACTCAGATAACGTAAGTATGAAGGACGTAAAAGTTAACACCGAAGAATTTAAAGGAAAAAATAACTTAAATTGTGTGTGGAAGCCTAATAAATGTCGAAGGGGAAATACACCTTCAAGGTCAGGAGACCACCGTTGGCTCGCAGAATTGTGAAAATATAGACTTAAGTAAGCGGAGAAAACGACCTGTACATAATTCTAAAAACGCTAAGATGAAAAGCTCAAACACATCATACGAATGGAAAACAACTGTCATATTCCTGACTTGGTACAAGCATGTCCTTAAGTAGAAAATGGTGGATTAAATGCAGATCAACGCAGGAACAAACTTGATAAACTTAGGATTAGGATTAGAGACACCGTGCCGAATTACACTCCAATTAATGATGTTTCCATATAAAAACAATATATCCAGAGGCTTTGTCTGCTAGAACATCAGCACATTGGGCGTGAGGACAAAATAAATCATGCACAATCTAGGGTTTCTAAAAGGGTTACAAACCCATGGGCTCTTTTTATTCGTAGAGTTTGAATGCCCTTCGGAATGCACGATCAGATAGCCCTGATTAAAGACACAAGTGCTCATTTTTTTTTTGTAGAGTTTAATGTGTTTCTGAATGACCGAATAGCTGTGATCTATTCAGAAAATTCATGGGGGTTCCGCGGAACCCTGTGTCTCGCCTACGATTGCCGCTGTCAGTGTTAAAGTGTAATGTTGACTTAAAAAGTGAGTCAATTTATCAGTAAAATACAGAATTTAAAAAAAAAATCAAACTTTTTCTTTAGATGCTATTTTTTCTTAACTAAATATCCTTCGCATTCCTGTTAGTATCCCTCATCTCAAGTATTTTAGGACATACAAAAATGAATGATATACAAGCACTAACTGTGGGGAAATGTATGAAATACAAGAACTAACTGTGGGGAAATGTATGAGATACAAGCATTATCTGAAATGTGGGTGATTGAGTGACAGGAAATCATCAATATACCTAAAAGTGAAATTTAAGAACTTAACATGATGTTTTTTTTTCCTTTTGTCTTTGGTTAGGTTTTGAATCTACTTCATGTGAGTTTAACGTCGACCAGCACAACTCATACCCATTGGAATACAGTCTGTTGCAATATCAATCCACCAAATTTAACTTAAAGTCCATAATTTTGATGATATTATCTTCGGGTTATTTGTTAATAGAAGTATTGAGGTTTTTCAAAAATAAGATTTTTCATAACACAAAACAAGAATTGAATATCTACGATTTCAATTTTTAGTAGAAAAACGTCTTTTCAATGAGTCGATGTATTCAATTCTCCAATTAATCATGGACAATAGAAGTGTAAAGCATATACTGAAGGAGTATATATCAGAATCTAAGTTTTGACGTCAATATTGCGCTCTTTGTTAAGACTAGAGCCACGTAAGGATCATGCATAACCTTCTGGAGCACATGAGATTGTACCGGTTTTGGTAAGGGTTTATGTTTGACTAGTTTTTTTGTTTTCTATGTTGTGGTTTTGTATACTGTTGTTTGATCAGTTTTTTTTACCATGACATTGTCAGTTTGTTTTCGACTTATGAGTTTGACTATCACGTTGGTATCTTTTGCGAACCATATACACTCCAATTAATGATGTTTCCATATAAAAACAATATAGTCAGAGGCTTTTGTCTGCTAGAACATCAGCACATTTGGCGTGAGGACAAAATAAAGCATGCACAATCTCGGGTTTTTGAAAGGGTTGCAAACCCTTGGGCTCTTTTTATTCGTAGAGTTTGAATGCCCTTCTGAATGCACGATCAGATAGCCCTAATTAGAGAAACATGCTCATTTTATTTGTAGAGTTTAAATGTGTTTCTAAATGACCGAATAGCTCTGATCTATTGAGATAAAGTGTCCAGTTTTGGTTTACTTTGGTCGCGTTTTACCCTCAACTGCATCCATCAGTAACTTTAATTTACTGAAAATCGAAATGTTTGTGTATTCTATGTACACGGTATTTTAGTTCATTTGCCTTGTTGATTTGATATTTACATGGCAACAAATCAAAACATCTAATAATAAATCTATACCCACATTTATTGAGAAAGTCGCATACATCAATGATTCAAAAGATATAAATGAAAGATTACCACAATATTCCCACACAGTATTATCAAATGATACAAAAAAAAGCAAATGCTTCAATTAACCAACGTTTCATCCCACACAATTTCATAAATTTATGTCATACATGTTATTAATAAACAAATGCAATGCAATAAAAGGTCTAATAAAAATCATATCAGCTAATAACTGATTTTAATACTACGACATACAACTAAGTTTACGCTCGAGAGAAAGTAAACCACAAAAATTGTAGCTAAGATATTGCCAGACAAAATTTAAAACTAGGCAAAGAATGACTTTTCCCACAATGATGACGATGATGACTATATTTGTATTTCCCCTCAGTTGTCCCTTCTTTTTTGGTTTTTCATGGCTTTCCTTTTACGCTGTTTTTTTCGCTGAAAGAAAAGAAATAAATAGATAAATTTTCTTATAACATTGTTAGTTATTACAATATACTTTATTAATGATATAAAAGTCAATTACGAAAAGATAAATGAGCTTAAAAATGCTGTCAGATGTTTTACCATTTACGTTTTTAGTGTATATCATTATGCCATCACACTGTTTTGTTTCTTATGAGCAAGTGATATTTTGATTGAGTGTGGACTCGCATGATGGGTGATGTATTAACATCAGTGTTTACTTATTCTTCTTCTGCATCCGGTCGTGTTGACAAAGGTTTTTTTTCATTTGATTCCTATATTCTGAATGGATTAAAAATGAATTCATGTCGCTCATGTGTCCTGCTTATTATTTTAAATATAATGATAATGGGAAAACAAATTACCTGATTTATTGTCGAAACTTTCCTGATTTGTTGCCGGATCCTTACTTTGAATGATTGCACGATTCTGTAAACAGATATATACAATATACAACCTCATTGTCTAAAAGTTTAGCTCAATACAGCGAGAATTCTATAGACTAATTTTGACTATCCGTTATTGTTTTATGTGATATTCAACTTTTTTCTTATTTCGAGGATTAGATGATCATGGTATATCTTTGATGTTTTGTTTTGTTAAATCTATTGACAACTTTAAGAGACAAGGACCGATAAAAAGCATGAACTATTACATCAATGCCTGTCTAGTGTAACAGACTGTATGTTGTCCTGTGTTTTTTTGTTCATTTTGTTTTTGGTATGCTACCTTATTGTATTAGCATAAATTAACATTGGTCATGATTTTCAATTAACTGTTTACAACACTTTTAATTTTTTGAAATACCTGGATTTTCTACCCTAGGAATAGATTACTTTAGCTGCATTTAGCAATACATTTCGGAGTTTTAGGTCCTCAATGCTCTTCAACTTAGTAATTCATTTGGTATTTAAACTTTTTTTATTAAGGCGTCACTGAGGAGTCTTTTGTTGATGAAAAGCGTCTGTGTACACAATTTTAAGCCTGGTCTCTTTGATGAGTTTATTGACCCACGCCTCCTTTTGTTCATGTATATGTTGTTGTGATAAGACAAGTGTATAGTTTCCACAGATGTGTTGTTGTGATAAGACAAGTGTATAGTTTCCACAGATATAATTAAGGTATTTATTAACCACAATAGTTCCGTTTCGAAAAGTGCCAGGTGTACACCGAGTTTGGTTTGAACCCGTTAAACAATAACACAATGTGACAACGATAAAAAAAACAATCAAGTATTTCATATTTAGAATGAGAAAATAGATATGTACCTGTAAAAAACTTATAAAAAACGGTATTTCACATCCTAAATTTTACGGTAGTATTTTACTAAAATATCGATTTTGTCATCAACAAATTAAAATATTTAAAATGAGAAAATAGATATGTAAGTACTTTAAAGAATTACATGATTTTCATTTAATTTACCTGAACGACATTTTCCTAAGTTGCAGAAAGATGTTTCGGTTTCGGAACCAACACAATAAAGTCCACCGTCAGACGGTGTGGGGTTGTCACATGTTCTGTTTTTGCTAAGGACGCCATCTCCACAAGTAACAGAACATGACGAGTTGAACCAAGGGCTCCATCCTCCATCAACTATTGCAAAAATATTGAACAACCATTCATAATAATCAGTCAGTTTTGGTTAGTTTGTCAAAATAAATCAAGAACCTAGCTTTTACATTATTATCTTACAAAACAATAGCTCGACCTCATTTAAATCCTCATGCACGCGTCCTATTCATCGTTTAAACCTTTAATATGCTTTACAATTAAATTATAAGGTAAACGATGAATTGTTCATATGCACTTTTTTTATCAATGAAACGATATGAAACAAACAAGGAAAATCGTAATTATATTATTATAATTAAATTGTTGTCACATACTTATTGACAATATTCAAAGGATGTGTTGAATTTTAATTAGATCGCGTCTAGTCCGAAAATTTAGATACTTTGTTAGCATTGCATGCATTGTTTAATGTTTCCGATTGATTTTATTTACTTTGGATATACGTCAAAATGTTTGACTAAATATCTTTGGAAGTTCTTCAAAAATATTGTGCTGATGTATATTCAACCAGTGGTGTCAATCAGATATAGACTCTAAAAATGTCTAAATATCTACTCTAAAATCTGCAATCAAAAGTTTTCTAATTATGCAGTAATATCAAAACTTCAAGCTTTCTGCGACTTACACTACCAGTCCCCATGCACAATTAAAAAAACCACATCGTCTCATTAAACAGAGGTTATTGTACAAATTAGAGAAACGTAGATACAAAATATATGTTTAAATTCAGGAAAAACTCCTCCATTTTTATTATGAGCCGATACCTTAGTGATGAATTGGGTAATTAGTTAAAACCTTTCAAGAATGGTATGACAATTTTATGTATCCTTTGGGTTCTTTAATGACAAGATAAAATAAAATATATATCGTATCTAATTTCGGATTCACAAAAAAAACAGGGACTTTTACTGCTTATACAAAGAAAGAAAAAGAACTATACATTCTTATCGCAAATAGTTGCTACAGAGGTCAAGTTCTGAACGAATAAATTGCAAATACATAAAACATGAGTGAATTTCATCATTTATTAGGAAATATATTAAACTGCTTACGTGGAATTCTGCAGTCTGAAGTATTGAAACTTGTAATTTCTGTCGTTGTGTTGAAATCCTCGCAGGTGCCGATCACAAAATTGACCGTTGTTAACCTTTTTATCACATTTTTCATAAGGCAGCATTTCAATGCGTTGCCGCTTATATTCCTTAAATGTTAAATGTAATACAAAGTTAATGCCGATGTTTTGTACATTTCCATGTCTGTTATTTCACTTCTTGCGAAACAAATTGAAATATCAAAGAGAAGAGATATAAAATATGACAATATTACAAAAATGGAAAAAAAACAACAACATAGTATTGCTAATTCTAATGCAACATCGTTTGTAACGTTCATTTTGATTGGATAACGTCACCAATTTTCATGGCATCAATTCACAATGGATGCTATGAAAACGTACGTGCAAGCGCAGATGACGTATGACAGATTTTAAATGTATGATTTGGCGTTGTTTTCTGTCAGTTTCATTAGATAGCTGTATTGTATCTTAAGCTCCGACGGCATCAACTGGTGATTTGATGGTCGCAAATACCTGTTGACTGGTTCCGCTAATGCGTCGCCAGTAAACTTAATTTGCGACCATCAAATCACCAATTGATGTCGTCGGAACTTCAAATACAATACAGTGATCTCCTAATTTTTGTAAAAAAAAAATACACAAATCATCTAATCAAAATAGATATAAAATGTATCTTTAAATAAAATAATAATCAATGCCATTTATTACAAAAGAGGAACTGATGTCCTGCATATTACTTACAACACAAACTTATCACGTGATCATAAGGTGCCTGACTCAAACTCATCGTCTCAATGAATACCAAATATACTCTATGGTAAGTATTCATTTTACAGATACTTTCAAATTAAAGGGGCACTAGCTGTCAAATTCATGTTCACCGATTTGACTCAAATTCTTATATTTGATTTATAAAAATGTAAAACATTTATCCAAACTATTAAAAGTCTAAAATAAACAGTTAACAGGACATGGGCATGATAACACGTAGCTTCGTTTCGTGTGTATTTTAGTCTAGACGCCATCTAATTAACTATCGAGTTGACCTCCAAAGTCATCCGATGACCATATAAGCGATGTAAACATAAATAAAGATATAAATAGATTAAGCGAACTCGTGCTATTGGATTTTTCTAGGTCTGTTTAATTTCATTTTATAGATTAAAAATATATGTTTATCATCGTTTTTACCTGTATAAGAATGTTGTTTTGTGGATCGGATCAGTCAATCAAATGATTTACCTTTGTTTCACTTTCAATGTTGACATTCTTTTCCTATCAATAACTTTACACATACAATTCACGTGTTATCCATCTCTAGCTAAGGAGTTAAATTGAAGTTCACTCGAATACGGATTCAATGAGGTCGAATTATTACTTACAAGTGAATAATACATCATCAATGTTTCTTAGCTTATTTTGACAAAATTGAACCATACTGGCGGCTAAATTCACTGTTTCACTTTCATTAATGATTGAACCAAAAAAAAATTATATATGAGATTTTTTATATATCTCGTAGCTAGTGCCCCTTTAAGAAACAAATTTAATTTTTCTAATGGGAATAACTCGTTAAAATATTTGATCATCACTCATTTTTGAAAGTGCTAAAGACATATTGCTGATATAAACCTATGATTTAAGTTTCATAAAATTCTGGCAAAAATTGTACACATTGGAGCGCTTATAATGCAATTGTCCATATAATCAATATTTCCAAGGGACATAACTCTTTAAAAATAATCGAGCGGCACTGATTTTCTAATTTGTCTGAAACATTGATGATATAAACCTATAATATAAATTTCATAAAAATCTGGCAAGAATTGTACACATTAAAGTATCTACAACATCAGCCCTTTTGAAAGAATATGAAGCACGTTTGATCATTGTACATAGCAGATTTTGAATGCGATTCTGAATGCATTATCAAACAGATTCAATTCAGATAAAGTGTTCAGTTTTGGTTTACTTTATTAAGCTACATCTGGCTCAGCATATTCACTCTGCTAATATTTTGGAAGAGCATATTTTGGTAAAACTTTGATATCTAAGAGGCAACAGTACTTTAGCGATTGGGGGATATTACAACCTCATAAATCGATTCATAACATACAGATAAATGCAATATCAGGATGTAATAAATCAACTCTTTATATTTTGCAGATAAATTAAGTTTCTCCAAAAATGGCATTCTTGAAAAAGTTTCATCTATTGAAAGTTAAATAAGAATGTAGAAATGAAGTTTTTGAAGGTAAAATTATTATGATTTAGAAATAAGTATTTGGAAAACATCAATTACAATATGTGTACCTTCTTTAAAACAAAATTAAAATGGCATTAAGTTTTCAGTAACTATCAACTGCATTTAAATTGTTGATGATTTGGGGTTGACGGTAACCGACCTCGTGGCAAACTGACTTAACTGGTACCCTGTAAACTGACTTAATTGGTACCCTGTAAACTGACTTAACTGGTACCCTGTTTAGTTGTCTGTGAGAAAATCAATTAATGTATGTTGAGGAAAACATACTATATTATATTAAATAATAATTTACCAAAAATTTGAAAGGACGATCTCCAAGTATTCAATAGATGATATATATTTTTAAACTGATATTCTTGTTGCAATTTCTATGGATTTGAACTGCAAATTTAAAATATTGAATCAAATTAATAGTTAAATAATTATGTAGAAAAGTGGTGTGGGTAGAAAGTAGAATAACAGTTAACCTGCTGAGTTCCCGAAGAACATCAATTAAATATGTACATACAAATTTACCGTACAGTTTATAATCAGATCAAATCTAAGATAAGATACAATAATACTTGAAATTCTTGAAAACTGGAAGTTGTTATTACTTAAATCTCTGAAAAATAATCAATTATCATGATGTGAAAGACAATACTTAATTAAGATACAGATACTAAAAGTACCAAATAGGTGGTTCTCCATGTATTTAATAGATGAAATATTTTTCTTTAAAATTATATTGTTGAAGTACTTTTTATAGCTTTGAACTCCAACCTACAAATATATAATATGGTTGAAAGTGTAATAAGTGTGTCTAAATAAGGTGTGCGTAGAAAATAGAATGACGGTGAACCTGTTGAATTCTCAGTACACAAGTATTTTGACGAACATCAGTTATATATGTACGTAATTAAATAAAGGCAACAGTAGTATACCGCTGTTCAATATTTATAATTCGATTGAACAAAAACAAATCCGGGTAACAAACTAATACCGATAGAAAAATATCAACTATAAGAGGAAAACAACGGAACAACAAAAACACTGAACTACAACAGAGGCAAACTCCAACATACATAGAAACAGACTGTAGATAACAACTGCCATATTCCTGACTTGGTACATAATATGTTAAGAAAAAAGGGTGGGTTGAACCTGGTTTTAAAGCTAACCAAAGCTCCCGCTTATATGGCAACGTTAAAAAATACCGCTAAAATGACCACACTGCGTGTCAGGAATACAGTACAAACAATCGTAAGAACACTCAACACAGAGAAATACATAAATAACTAATATAATAGTACATTTCAACAGGTAAATCGCAGAATAACAACGGACACCTCCCATGAATCTACGACAGCACACCACAAACGAAATAAACTGCACGTCACATAAATCGAACAACGTCACAAAAAGTGATGTATTTTTTGTGACGTTTATATTATCACAGGTAAATTTCTAAAAGTAAAATAGATTTGTTTTATTTATAAACACGTACAAGAATGAATAAACAATAATATAGAGACTGAGATAGACATCAATCACACTTACAAAAGTTGAAACTTCGTAGTCGTCGATAACAGACCTTCTGGCAAACTTTCTAAGTTGTTATTCCTTAAAAATCTGGAAGAAAATCAATAATCACGTTTATGGAAGAATATACTTAATTTAGATACTGATACTCAAATTGCCACAGATTTCAAAAGTCTTCATGAATTCAATATATTTTTGAAATGATATTCTTAAAGCTTATATAGCTTTGAACTGCAACCATTAAATATCTAACGAGATAAAAAGTTTAATAAGTATTTAGAAATGAAGTGTGCGTAGAAAATAGAATGATGGTAAAGCTTCTGAGTCCTTGGTACACAAGTATATTGAAGAACATGTTTATAAATTTGCGTAATTAAATATATAATACAATCTAGAATATGATAACGCCTAATTCATGTATTCAGGAGAAAGACATCAATCATACTTACAATATTTTTAAATTCAAATTCGATTGATTATATAGTACAATCTATTATGAGATAAAGTCTGAGATAAAACATCAATCACACTTACAAAATAACAAGTTTCGTAGTCGTTGATAACAACCCTTCTGGTAAACTTACTAACTTGTTATTATCTAACTGTCTGGAAGAAAATCAATTAACATGATCAAGTAAGAATATACTTAATTAAGATACTGATACTCAAAAGTAACATCATGTGCGTAATAAAATTTACAATAAAATCGATCGGTTTTGCTCACACATTGTTGTCAATATAATGGAATTTGCGACTGTCATATACAAGTGAGAGGTTTAGCTAGCTATAACAGCAGGTTTAATCCACCATTTTCTACATAATGAAATGCCTGTACCAAGTCAGGAATATGACAGTTGTATATGAGCTTTTGATTTTGCAATTTTAAAAACTTTTCGTTTTGAATTTACCTTGGATTTCGGTATTTTTGTTATTTTACTTTCTATAATATGATAAAGCCTGAGATAGATATCAATCACACTTACAATAGTTATAGATTCACATTCGATTAAATATACTGCACAATCTATAATAAGATAAAGTCTGAGATAAGACATCAATCACACTTACAATGACTGAAGTTCCGTAGTCATCGATAACAGACCTTCTGGTAAACTTATTATGTTGTTATCATTTAAATATCTGGAAGAAAATCAATTATTATGATCATGTAAGAATATACTTAATTAAGATACTGATACTCAAAAGTATCAAAGATTTCAAAGGTTGATCTCTAAATGTACCAAAGAGATTAAATATATTTTTTGATATTCTTGATGCAAAATTTATACCTTTTTGGGTATACCTTTGCACCCTTAAAACATTTGATAAGATTAAAAATTAAATCAGTATGTATAAAGGAGGTGTGCGTGATGGAAACCTTCTGAATTCCCGGTACACAAGTATTTTGACGAAAACAAATTAAATATGTAAGTAATTAAATATACAATACAATCTCTAATAAGATAAAGTCTGAGATAGACATGAATCACACTTACAAATTTTGAAGATTTGTGGTCGATGACAACAGACCTTCTGGTAAACTTTCTATGTTGTTATTATTTAAAGATCCGGAAGAAAATCAATTATCACGATTATGCAAGAATATACTTAATTAAAATACTGATACTCAAATTACCACAGATTTCAAAAGTCGGTCTTCATATATTCAATATAGTTTTTGAGCTGATATTCTTAACGCTATGTTTATAGCTTTGAACTGTAACCATTAAACATAAAACGAGATTAAAAGTTTAACATGTCTAATAAGTATGAAGAAATGATGTGTGCGTAGAAAATAAAATAATGGTAAAACTGTTGAGTTCCCGGTACACAAGTTTATTGAAGAACATCAGTTATATATATATATATATGAAAAAAAAGTAAGGCTGAAAATGCACCAAATATTTATATTCAATATGAATATTCACATTTTGTCTATTACAACAACAAATTGTTCAAAAATGTTCTCCATAGTATTCTACCGGTTTCACTGTTTAACAGATCTTCAAGGATATGGTTATTATGACGTTCAGCACTAAATAATAATGTCGCTGATGGACGTTACCCCTGACGACGTCGCCAGCAACCATATCATTGAAGATCTGTTAAATAGTGAAACCGGTAGGATACTATGGAGAACATTTTTGAACAATTTGTTGTTGTAATAGACAAAATGTGAATATTCATATTGAATATAAATATTTGGTGCATTTTCAGCCTTACTTTTTTTCCCTATTCTATGCACAGCGTGGCCAAATTTAAAACTTTTTAATACATATATATAAATATATATACGTAATCAACTATACAAAGCAATCTATAATAAAATGATTTCTTAACTAACTACCAATCACACTTACAATATTTTTCGAATCATGTTCGATTAAATATACAATACAATCTATAATACGATACTGAGATAAACATCAATCACACTTACATATATTCAAGACTCGTAGTCATCGATAACAGACCTTCTGGTAAACTTATTATGTTGTTATCATTTAAATATCTGGAAGAAAATCAATTAACATGATTATGTAAGAATATATTTGATTAAGATACTGATACTCAAAAGTACCAATTTAAGGTTTCAAAGGTTGATCTCTGTATGTACCAAAAAGATTAAATATATGTTTCGATATTCTTGATGCAGTGTTTATACCTTTAAACTCGTCCTTAAAACATTTAATACGATAGAATACCGATAATTAAATAAGTATGTATTATGGTGGTACATAACACTTCAGGGAGATAACTCTGTAAAAATCAACTGAACGTTTTAATCACGTTCTATTGTTAAGGAAATATTAAGCTTCTCAATGATCAAAATTAGTGTTTGTTAAACTGGTATATATCTAATGAAATTGTTCCGATTAAGTGTGTGGTTCAAGTTTTTTGAAATTTTTGTATTTTTGTCAAAGGGTAAAAGTAAATATTTTGTCAAAATTTTATGAATATCAAACGAGCCGAATTAATTTTAGTCAAGGTGTTTGGTACCACCTTAAGAAGGTGTGCGTAGAAAATAGAATGATGGTAAACGTACACAAGTATTTTGACGAACATAAGTTAAGTATGTACGTAATTAAATAAACAATACAACCTCTAATAAGATAAAGTCTGAGATAGATATGAATCACGCTTACAAATTTTGAAGATTTGTGTTCGATGACAACAGACCTTCTAGTAAACTTTCTAAGTTGTTATTATTTAAAGATCCGGAAGAAAATCTATTATCACGAATATGCAAGAATATACATAATTAAGATACTGATACTCAAATTATCACAGATTTCAAGTCTTCATGTATTCAATATATTTTTGAGCTGATATTCTTAACGCTATGTTTATATCTTTGACCTGCAACCATTTAACATTAAACGAGAGTAAAAGTTTAACATGTTTAATATATATATATAATATATATAATACGTAATCAAGTCTAAATTGAAAACAACGTTCAAACCTATGATTGCGTTCGATAAAAACTGCAATTTTTATACGTGTGTATGCAAAACAAATTTCTTGGTACGTAATCAACTATACAAAGCAATCTATAATAAGATGAATTCTTAACAAACTACCAATCACACTTGCAATATTTTTAAAATCATGTTGGATTAAATATACAATACAATCTATAAAACGATACTGAGATAGGCACCAATCACACTTACAAAGAGTTAAGATTCGTAGTCGTCGATAACAGATCTTTTGATAAACTTATTATGTTGTTATCACTTAAATCTCTGGAAGAAAATCAATTATCACGATTATGCAAGAATATACTTAAGATACTGATACTCAAATTACCACAGATTTCAAAAGTCTTCATGTATTCAATATATTTTTGAGCTGATATTCTTAACGCTATGTTTATATCTTTGACCTGCAACCATTTAACATTAAACGAGAGTAAAAGTTTAACATGTTTAATAAGTATATAGAAATGAAGTGTGCGTAGAAAAATAGAATGATGGTAAAACTGTTGAGTTCTCGGTATACAAATATATTAAAGAACATTTTTTAGTCCATTTTCACTGAACAAGTTCACATTTTTATTTAGGGGCCGGCTGAAGCCCGCCTCAAGGAGCGGGAAAATCCCGCTGTGTTGAAGACCCATTGGTGGCCTTGGGCTGTTTTCTGCTCTTTGGTCGGGTTGTTGTCTCTTTGACACATTCCCCATTTACATTCTCAATTTCATTATATATGTGTGTAATTAAATATACAGTACAATCTATAATAAGATAAAGTCTGAGATAAGACATCAATCACACTTACAAAACTCGAAGATTAGTGTTCGATGACAGCAGACCTTTTGGCAAACTTTCTAAGTTGTTCTCACTTAAATCTCTGTAAGAAAATCAATTATCACGATTAGAGGCCTTTAACCTCAAAGATGTGAAATCCAAACTTCCGGATTGGTCATGTGCATTATCAAAATAATATTATAGTCCAGCTGGTCATGTTATTACTGGCGACCTTGGCATCGTAACCAATAAACAACTAAGAGAGTTGTTAGCCAAGGGACCAAAATATAGAATTCCCCAGCCCATCAACTGGAAAATGAACATCAGGTTACTGATGGATGCAGTTGGGGACTATGCTAGAAAATGGGTAAAGCGCGACTTGACGAACCAGAACTGGACACTTTGTCTGAATGGATCAAAGCTATTCGATCATGCATTCAGAAGCGCATTCAGAAACTACGATGTACTATGAGCACAAGGGTTTCTAACCCATTCAAGAACACGGAGGTTGTGGATGCTATCTCCTCTTTGTATACGAATCTGTCGTTGTTCCAGCTGATAAAGCCTCCAATAATACTGTCTTCGTATGTAAAAACCATTATTTGCAATGTCTCACAAAAGAGCTTGGAATAAACAGCACAACTGGTAATCCTACATATTCTTTAACATCATTTACAAAGGATGAAATTTTACAAAATCACAAATTTGTCCTTCTTTCTTTTGGTATTAACATCAAAGAAAACAAAGAAAATCTACTGTCATTATACTGGATACCATAACTTCACAAAACTCCTTATAAAGAACGATACATAGCTGGATCATCAAGATGTTCGACTAAACACCTTTCTATAGTGCTGACTACTATTCTTTCTACTGTAAAAGATGGCCTAAAAAATGGTGTGATGAGATAAATTCAACCAGTGGTGTCGATCAGATGTGCAATCTCAAATACTCTAAAGATCTACTGCTAAATCTTAGATCACAGTCTCTGCAATTTTGCAGCAACATTAAGACCTTTGATTTTTCTACGCTTTACACTACTATTCCCCATGCTCAATTGAAAGATAGACTTCACCATCTCATTAAACAGAAATTTTTCTATAAAAACAGGAATCGTAGATATAAATTTGTTGTTATGGGTTATAATAATTCTTATTTTGTGAAGAACCACACTGATTCTAACTGAAAATACACTGAAGATGATATTATCAAAATGCTGGACTTTTTAATCGACAATATATCTGTTGAGATTGGAGGATTGATATTTCAACAGACACGGTATTCCAATGGGTACTAATTGTGCACCCCTTCTGGCCGATTTGTTTTTGTACTCGTATGAAGCAGAATTCATTCAGAACCTTCTAAAAGTCAAAAAGAAAAAGCACCTTGCGAAATTCTTTAATTTTACCTTCAGATATATTGATGATGTCCTATCACTGAATAACCCATATTTCAGTCAGTAATTGCATCTTATATATCCCAGTGAACTTGAAATTAAGGATACTACTGATACTAGAAGGACTGCTTCATACCTTGATCTTTTCCTCAATATTGACACAGATGGACGACTTCACACTAAAATCTTTGACAAACGGGATGATTTCAACTTCCCTATTATCAATTTACCATTTCTCAGCAGTAACATACCCTCTGTTCCGTCGTATGGTGTTTACATATCACAAATGATACGTTATGTTCGTGCATGTTCACACTATACTGACTTTATATACAGGGGTGTGCTCCTTACGCAGAAACTGCTCCAACAGAGTTATGAGGAGGAAAGATTAAAAATGACACTCCGTAAATATTAAGGACACCATCACGAATTGGTTGATCTATACGATGTGTCTGTATCTAAACTAACTAACGACATTTTTACCACGCCTTTAAAAGTTTGTCCGTTGTTATTCTGTGGTTTACATGTTGTGATGTACTATTATATTATTTATTTATGTATTTCTCTGTCCTGATTGTTCTTGCATTTATTTGTACTGTATTCCTGTCACGTAATGTTTTTATTTTAGCGGTACTTTTAACATTGCCATATAAGCAGGAGGTTTGGCTAGCCATAAAACCAGGTTCAACAAACCATTTTTTTCTTAAAATGTCCTGTAATAAGTCAGCAATATGGCAGCTGTTATCGAATAGTCCGTTTCTATGTATGTTGGTGTTTTTGTTGCAGTTCAGTGTTTCTGTTGTTCTGTTGTTTTCCTCTTAAAGTTGATGTGTTTCCCTCGGTTTTAGTTTGTAAGCTGGATTTGTTTTCTCTTAATCGATTTATGACTTTTGAACAGGGTATACTACTGTTGCTCTTTATTTATGAAAGAATATACTTAAGATACTGATACTCAAATTACCACAGATTTCAAAAGTCGGTCTTCAAGTATTCAATATATTTTTTGAGCTGATATTCTTTACGCTATGTTTATAGCTTTGAAATGCAACCCTAAATCTTTAAACGAGTTAAACGTTTAACATATTTAATAAGTATGTAGAAATGATGTGTGCGTAGAAAATAGAATGATGGTAAAACTGTTGAGTTCTCGGTACACACATATATTGAAGAACATCAGTTATATATATACGCAAATAAAGGCAACAGTAGACTTATACTAAAGTTATTGTCCGTAAACGAGAAAATCCTAGCTTTTTTGGCCCGTTTTTTTTTGGCATTTATTCTTAAACGGTTTGAACCATAACCCTCATAATCAATCATAACATTCCTTTTAAATACTGGAACCATGGGGTAAAATTTCATAGAGATCCATACACTTATACACAACTTATTGTCCTGATACAAGAAAAATGCTTGTTTTTGGCCCCTTTTTGACCCCTAATTCCTAAACAATTAGGATAATAACCCATAAAATTAATCCCAATCTTTCTTGATGTGGTATAACCTTGTGGTACAAGTTCATGGAGATCCATACACTTATTGTCATGTAATTGTCTTGAAACCAGATTAATGTCTTCGGACGACGACGACGAAGAAGACGACGCTGACAACATCAAAACTTTATACGAACGCAAAAATTTTGCGGTCGTATAATTGATTGATTGTTGGTTGCTTAACGTCCAAAGGTCGTATAAAAATATATTGCATTGACTATACTCACAGTACTATAAGGAATGTTAAACCTGATAAGTCATTCGGTACTAGTGAGGTCAAGTTATTTCCATTAAGATATCTGAAAGTATAAAAATTAAAAACGTTCAATAGTTAAAAAAAAAATAGATACGATACCACTAGGCGATCAATGAACATAAAATTTAGATCTTATCCCAAATATGAAGATAAGGACAAATGATTTGGCATCTACGCGAGAAAATTCGTTAAATTGCAAATCTCTTTGAAAAGAAGTCAGCAAATGATTAAGGTAGCAGGAGTGAAAAATAATCATCATTTAGTGAATATTAAAATCATTTAATTTTGACCGGTATCAGGATAAACTGACGAATTGATGACCAATATTGAATGTATGGAATGAAAATCAACAGTTTATCATGTCACAGTATAGACAATAGTATGACAGACTATCATTAAATTGATAAAATGAAAGAAGGAATTTAGAATTGGACAATAAGGATTATGAAAAGTAAAAGATAACACATAACTTACATTGTTAAATCAGTATTTTTAAAGCACATAATTGGAGATCAAAACGTCATTGATAAATTCATGAATATTCTAGTAGATAGCAATTGTAAGATTCATTATTTTTAAAATCTATTACCATTGTCAGTCTGGATTGTCCGGTAAATTTTTGTAGGATGACAACTGAACACATTCATCATTTATATATCATCCAACTTCATAAAAGATCGACTCTCACACACACACACACATCCACACACTTCACACACACACACACATCCAAACAAACACATACACAAACAAACATACACAAACAAACATACACATACGTATTTATCCATGTTTGCAGTTTGCCGTCATAGGGCTGTGATATTTCCGTACGAATATGAATCAAGAATGTAATACAAAGCAACATAAACTTTTGTTTTTACTTGTCAACGCACCAGATCTCGCTGTCATAGTAGATAAAACGATTTGTTTATTTTTATATCTACTTATTTGATTTATCGATAAATGTAAATAACAGTTGATAAATTTCGCGTCCGACGAATTTTTATAGATTTGCTTTTATCACGAATGCACAAGTACTTTAGGTTACAGCATATGTAATTTACAGTACTTACAATTCTGTTGTATCTGAGGGAATATTTGGTGGTATTTCCGTTAAATTCTTTAGAGTACAATTAACACTTGTACCAAAACATATACAAGGTTGTACACATCCAATGACTAAATCCCCTTTTACAAAGCTAATAAACAAAATAACTGTAACTGTGCTCAACATTTTCTTTGATGATTTCCTTTCCCTCGTTTTCCTTGTGTTATCTATAAGAATAAATTCAAAAAGTTTACAGTCATTTATGTTTGATAAACCACAGAATTTTCAAGCGAGAACGACAGAGATAGCGCAATGACTACTAGTATGTGAAAGTCCATAGTTTTTCTTTATTTAACTCTGTCAGATATATTTCCCTTTCCTTTATGGTATTAAGTATCACACATTTTGAAAAGAAGTTTTCACACCTCTCGCTTGATTGTTTTACAAATATACAAGCATTTTGACTGTTACTGAATAAACCCTTGACAATCTTTTGACGTATATTTTCGTATTTCAATAATGATGTTGCATTGACATTGAGATGGATAATTTTTGTACATCCGGTACCTTAAAAAAATGTACGTGGTAAATATATATTTAAAAATTTACTTCGACACCAGTTATACGTGTACAACTTCTCCTTATGTAAACAAAACTTTGCACTTAAACTTTTCACATTACAAAACGGCAGCATCTGCCCCTTTAAGGATGGAAGGCCACAGTGAAATGTGTCATATAAATCATTTCTACATTAAGTTGCAACAACCAATAACGCTAATATTAACGATCATTAGTTTTAGTTTCTCACAGTATAATGTATGAGAGAAGCGAAAGATACCAAAGGGACATTCAAACTCATAAGTCGACAATAAACTGACAACCCCATGGCAAAAGAAGAAAACAACCAAAAGACAAACAACAGTATTCAAAACAACATAGATATCTATAAAGACTGAGCAACACGAACCCCACCAATATCCGGGGGTGATCTCAGGTGCTTCGGAGTGGTAGGTTTTCCTGTTCCACGTGTACAAGTGAACCAATTACTAATGTAAGCATCCCGACCTTACTACTATATGCATAATTTCCCTTTTGACACCAGTACATCGCACATAAAGGTACCATGGCATAGGTCATTTGATGAATAAAACAATAGAGTTCAATGTGTCTACTAAAACATTACTACATTCAATGTGAACTCGTGATGTACACTTTTATAAGAACTAAGAACAATGTTAATTAATGATCAATAAAACGGCGGAAATTACCTTATAAAATAATTTCTCTAATTCTTTGGCAATTTTACCCTTTCCGGACCCATCGTATAACAAAATTTAATCAACGTGTGGTTGTCGATGATCTCAGAAGATGATTGGATGAGTTTAAGGGTCATAACCTTTATCAGCTCATAGGATGAATCAAAATATGCGAACAGTGAAATTGACAACTTTGTGGAATGTGGAAGGCACTCGAAGGGGATTTTTGTTTATCAAAAATGAAAATTTATTTGATAATCATTAGAGAAATAGATTCTCAAATAGTTTCTCGTGGATTATCGGATTTATCCACTCGTACCAATATAAGAATCTATATATAATACGAATAGCAAAGAAAATTGATTTCAGTTCCACATAATATAATCCATTAAAGAACAAATTTTAACTCATAACTTTTGTAAGAATACCGGTAAAAATTATATATTTCCGTTTTGATTTTTAAAATTCTTGCACTTGTAATTGTATTTTAACCATTCGGGTTATACTGATTTATTCATAGTGCTACGATCAGGCATTTTATCATTTCGGGTTATACTGACTTATTCATAGTGTTACGATGAGGTATTTTATCCATTCGGGTTATACTGATTTATTCATAGTGTTACGATGTGGTATTTTATCCTTTCGGGTTATACTGATTTATTCATGATGATATGATGAGAAATGTACATATTTTAAAAAGGTAATTTAGGTTTCCTTTCAAACTTTGAACCCACATTGTCAGATTCCAATTCGCAGGTCTAGTAAATGGATATCTAGAATTATACGTTGACAAATCAGAAGGTATGAATGACAACAATAAATATTTCGAACGAATCTTAGTTCAACACGTTTGCAAAAAAGGTTAAGTTTATAAAATAAACACAAGAACAGAGTTCCAATGTCCCCCGCTTTGCACATATTTTATCTATCCAAGGTACAAGGGCAATAACTAAAAAAATCACATTTTTTTTGTTTTTTAAAAAAACTTTTTATTAATATCTTAAGAGAAATGAAGGCTTCAGAGCAAATGCAATGTGATTTCCATTATAATCTATATTTCCAAGGGACATAGCTCGTTAAAAATATTTGATCAGAACTTATTTTCGAAAGTGTCAAAGACATTGCTGATATAAACCTATAATATAAGTTTCATAAAATTCTGGCAAGAATTAAAAACATGAGAACGATAACATTGAAATTTTCAATATAATCAATATTTTCAAGGGGAATAACTCTTTTAAGAATAATTGATCGGCACTGATTTTTAAACTCTTCAAGAACAGTAATGATATCAACCTATAATATAAATTTCATAAAAATCTGGCAAGAATTGAACACATGAGAGCGCCCATAAGACAATTTTCCATTTAATAATATTTCCTAGGGGCATAACCCTTTAAAAAATTATTGATCGGCACTGATTTTCAAAATTCGTCCAAGACATTGCTAATATAAACCTATGATTTTAGTTTCATAAAATTCTGGTAAGAATTGTACATTTGAGAGCGCTAACAATGCAATTCTCCATATAACTTATATTTCCAAGGGGCATAACTCTTTTTAAAATAATTGATCGGCACTGATTTTCGAACTCGTCCAAGGCATTACTTATATAAACCTATGACATAAATTTTATAAAAATCTGGCAAGAATTGAACACATGAGAGCGCTAACAATGCAATTTTCCATAAAATTAATGTTCCAAGGGGCAAAACTCTTTTAAAAAATAATTGATCGGCACTGATTTTAGAACTCGTCCAAGACATTGCTAATATAAACTTATGATTTAAGTTTCATAAAAATCTGGCAAGAATTGAACACATGAGAGCGCTAACGATAAAATTTTCCATAAAATTAATGTTCCAAGGGCATAACTCTAAAAAATGATTAATCGGCACTGATTTTCTGACTCGTCCAACACATTGCTAATATAAACCTATGATATAAGTTTCATAAAATTCTGGCAAGAATTGTACACATGAGAGCGCTAACGATGAAATTGCCCATATTTTTTTTTCCAAGGGGCATAACTCTTTTAAAAATATTTGATCGGCACTGCTTTTCGAACTCCTCCCAAAATTGCTGATATAAATCTTTGATATAAGTTTCAAAAAAATCTGGAAAGAATTGTACATGTGAGAGCGGTAACAAGACCGGACGGACGGACGGACACCCGGTATTTACATGTTCCCCGCAACGCGTTACGCGGGGGACAAAAAAGTTATATCTAATAGCTTTTTTTTTCTAGGACATTTAAATCCCAGATAGATATACTCATCAGTGTTTGAATAAATGAACAGCATTTTTCTCACAACTATTTCGGCACCTCAAGCAAGATTGGCTGTTTCTAAATAAGATATAACTTTCTAGGTTTTTGATATATTTCGTGTTATATTTGAAAAAATATTTTTCAGAAAAGCCATACGTTTCTCAACAATTTCTTGTAGCAGTATATGACGATAGGGAATTTTCTTCTTATTATGTTCTCGAATGCATAATTAGAATTAATAAAACAATTTATATATGATGTTTGATCGGTCCCCAGGTTGTCCACAAAGGACAAACAATTCTAACGAAGCAAAGTGAAGGATCTGATTTTAACGAGATTAACCCTGCCCTAGACTAAAATAACTGCACATAATTTAATCTAATCAAAGAAACTATGCTTGTCTCATTGGCAATCATACCACATCTCCCTATTTTTATAAAGTAAATTAATGCACCACACACGCGTTTTGTCTATATAAGACTTATCAGTGGCGCTCGAATCATAACAGTTTGAAGGTAAAAGTAAGTTACAAAGAGGAACAGTAAATGAATTGATCAAATCATAACTAAAATAAAATGATGCTGTAAAAAACAATCTTACAAAACAATCGTACAATCATTCAGATTTCATGTCGGCTACTACCGAGCAGTGAGCTTTATCCCTCGCTAAAAACATGGGAAAGTGAAAAGAAATTTCATAAAAACATTAAAACCATAAATTTTCAAATTAGATTTTCATAAATACTCATTTTCAATAATGCAAAAAAAAACGTAAATCTTCCTTCAAAGGGTTTTAGTTATTGGTGAAAAGTGCTGCTTAAAACTATCTTACTGTATGTTTATATTTCGAATCAATCTCAGTTTTAAAAAAAATAAAAAAATTATGGGATATCCGAACTTCCAACTGCTTTGATTAGAGCACCGCTGATGAATCGTGTGTACATGCACAAAACGCGCGTCTGGTGTAGATGATTATTTCATATTGTTTAATGGTTAGACAAGTGTGTGTTGAATAGAGAATATTTGTTATTCATTGCTGCTGTTTTATTGCAGTTTTAAGTTAGATGGTCCCCGATATGCACTAAATTTGCTGTTTGGTTGATTTCTATAAATATGTATATATATAATTCGTCTCAAAATTTAGCACAACAATGTTAGGGAGCAACCATTTAACTTCAAGGGGGGTGGGGGGTGTTTTGTCCGAGTCAGAAATTTTTTTTTGCGCGAACATTTTTTTTTTTAGTTTTTACGACGCTATCAATCAAATTTTTTTTCTTCAAAATTTAACACTATAAGGTATGGGGAAAATCTGGATTCAGAATATTTTTTTTTTTTGTCATCTGCTTGACCACAATATTTTTTTTCATCAAATTGGGGATCAGAATATTTTTTTAGGAAAACCCATGACATCGTGGCAACACCGCCTGCGCCGTGTCCAGCGCCCTAGACCACTCGACCACCTAGGCTACATAAAATATAGTTTTCGGTGGTCGACGTAATGCCTTTCCTCGTCGGCTTTATCTAGGGTTGTAACACAGTACATGATGTAAAGTGGCAAGTAGATGGTGTAGGTTTCAGATCAGCTACTTTGTCTGTCGTTAGGTTTCACATCAGCTACTTTGTCTGGTTTCACATCAGCTACTTTGTCTGTCGTTACGTTTCACATCAGCTACTTTGTCTGTCGTTACGTTTCAC